TCGATACCGATACTATCGACGACACTGCTTCGAGATTGTAAGAACGACGTTAAAAATCATCGATTTTTGGCTTCGATCGACCCCGCTTACCTAACGAACACCGACCTCGCAAACCTAACCTCACTTAAGGTGGTGTTCTGGTCTGGAATAGACGAAAATTAAGCAGACAGGTGGCATCCTATATTTTTAAAACCATAATAAATTTCATTGATGTCGAGGAACATTCGGGGCGCCAATGAACGATGTTAAAAATCATCGATTTTTGGCTTTGGTCGATCTCCCAAACCTAACCTCACTTAAGGTGGTGCTCTGGTCTAGAATGGACGAAAATTAAGCAGACGAGGGCATCCTATATTTTTAAAGTCATAATAAATTTCATTGATGTCGAGGAACATTCGGGGCGCCAATGAACGATGTTAAAAATCATCGATTTTTGGCTTTGGTCGATCTCCCAAACCTAACCTCACTTAAGGTGGTGCTCTGGTCTAGAATGGACGAAAATTAAGCAGACAGGTGGCATCCTATATTTTTAAAATCATAATAAATTTCATTGATGTCGAGGAACATTCGGGGCGCCAACGAAACACGTGATTCAGTTTCAACAGTTTTCGGGAGGTGGGCGACAATTAACAAGTTAGCTGCCAATTACCAAGTTATCGTTCGTGATAACCGTTGCACGGAACCGACACGTCATGCGAGGAAACAATTGAAAGCTTCATTAGATTAAACTTTTTACAGGAAAATGTAAACTGATACGAATAATCCAGTTGCTTTATTTATTTACATTCCTAATCGAAGAGCTTATCTAGAACATATCTTAACGCTACTTCTACCAAAGAGTGTCAATAAGGAGTTTATTAGCCGTATAATTTAAATTAATTATATAAGCAATATTCAGAGAATTCCAAGTTTCTTTTAGTTTCCGTAAGCGACAGTGTTACGTAAAAAAAAATATAGTATCGTATATACGTCCGGCGAATGAATTTGTTCCTACCATATGGCGCACGAGCTATGAAGCAACTAGTTTCCGGTCGCGGCAGTTGTGAAGTCCCCCATACCATACTGTATAGGAAATCAGGGGTCCTTGCATGGCTTCGTCAATATTATTCAGAACTTAGGGTCTCTTTAAGTCGAATCTTAAACGCTGTTCCTACCAAAAGACAAATTTTAAAATTTTTTTTGGAAACTATTTTTGTTTAACAATTTGTAAGATTGTAACTTGTTAAATCGTATGGAACCTAGCTTTAAATACTCGATCATGGTAGGAATGGGTATACATTAGAGATGGCGTGAGTTACTTTTGAATTACTCGTGATTCAAAGTTCTTTTCACTTTTCACGAATTATGTCCTTCAAATCATTCTGGAAAAATTATTTTCGGTTGCGGGGGTCAATTGCAATCATTCTTGGTGAACAGACATACCCCCGAAATCCTACCCACTTTCTAGAAAAAAATTCGTAAAGCTGTGAAATTTTTCCGAGAAAACAAAAGTTTTCAATCGTTCTAAAAAAATTATTTTCGGTTGTGGGAGTCAATTACAATCAATTTCGGTCATTACATATACCCTCAAAATCCTACGCACTTTCGAGAAAAAAATTCGAGAAAGTGTGACATTTTTCGACAAAATTAAAAAATTTCAAATCGTTTTGGAAAAATTATTTTCGATTGCGGGGGTCAATTACAATCAATTTCGGTCATTACATATACCCTCAAAATCCTACGCACTTTCGAGAAAAAAATTCGAGAAGGTGTGACATTTTTCGACGCAAAACAAAAATTTCAAATCGTTTTGGAAAAATTATTTTCGATTGCGGAGGTCAATTACAATCATTTTTGGTGAATACACATACCCCCGAAATCCTATCCAGTTTCGAGAAAAAAATTCAGGAATATGGACAAATTTTTCAACAAAATTAGAAAATTTCATTACTGATGATTTTATACTTTTTCTTATTTTTAAAGCGAGTGTTTTACACCTAACCAATACTTCTTTTTCGCGGCAACAAGTTTATCATTTATTTAAATAATCGACCTAAACGATTTGACATTTGAAACGTACAATATATGCAATTAAGCAGCCTTTTTCATTGCTTAGACTACATTACAATACAATTTAAATTTGGCGCATTTATAATTCTTTGAATTTCCACCGAGGGGAGTTAGCTGAACACTAACGATCACAGTTAACATGGACCGCTACTAAAACGCCATCTTTCGGATCACGGTCGTGAATGGAGTTTAATCACGAGCGTGATCGTGATTTTGCGATCACTTGGTGATTTTGCACGCTATCTCTAATTCCTACCAAGAGACACCTTTTAAAATTTATTCTTGAAATTATTTTTGTTTAACGATTCGTAAAATTGTAACCTGCTGAATCATACGGTTTGCTATGGTTTCTTTAAATACTCGATCATGGTAGGGTACGCATATGAAGCGTCGGTAGGTTTGAGGTTAAACGTTTCGGTCGGAAGTGTTTTTGATGCACGCGCATTCAGTAAATCTTGATAATTGACGACACGCTCTCCGCCCCGATGTACAATGGCTAATGGGTAAATTTTCGTTGGAAGACTATTGAGAGGCCATCGCACTGTCTTCTGGCCTCATATTACACCGCCAGTTTCTAGTTGGCCACGCACACGCGAACTTCGACACAATTATGGCACGTCGGTGTGTATCAGAATTGAGATAACGAAAAGCAAACCGAGCCAACGACGCAATAACCATTTGACGCTTCCCTTCAATTCGTGCAGGAAGGAAGTTGATAGAGAAACGTTGCACTGCATATCAATTTGCGTGCGAGTCGTGCGCGAAAATTCGCCTTTTCTCTTCTGGTGTCATATTAATTACACCGACAGTAAAGATCACAGCGTACAAGGATAAACGTAACCTGGTAAAAGAATTCAGAGATAACACGGAAGAGGAATTTTCTAATAAAATATTTATTGTATGGAAAAACGATTCCAGGGAAAGTTGTTCGGTGCCCAGAGGAGCATGCAATGCAATAATTACTGTTTTAATTTGTTTATCAAGACACGAAGGTCATTTTGTGTTTCTTAACTGTGTAACGCGCAACGTTTGATCGTGCCATTCGAAAGTTCTTCGAATCGAGAATAAAATTTTATTTATGTAAACGGGATAGAAAGTTAATAATTACCAGAGATATCCTTCGGTTGATTTTCAGTTAAAAATCTCAAGGTGTGACCTTCGTATCTTTATAGAACAGTGAAAGAAATATTATTGCATCGATAGCCACAACATATCGCCTGCAGTCTACGTTCCATTAAAATTGTTAATTTCATTGGGAAACGAAAGTGGCGTATTAACTCCTGGAACGAATTGCGCGAACGCGACGATGACCGTGCGAAATAGTTTATTTAATGAAAGAGAGCAATTCCAGCATGCTTATAATTAAGGATCTGGAAATTTTGTAACGACGTATAACAAGTTATTTAAGATCCGCTTAAATTTTAATTGATTTTCATTAAACGCATAATAAATTATATCAAAATTTAGAATAATTTTATTTATTAGTGTACGTTTAATTCGCATTAGAATGTAAATAACGATCCTTTACGTTTTTAATTATCGAACCTAAAAAAAAATAATTGCTCAGCTTCGGTGCAAATTAAATGACTGTTCTATCTATGCCGTAACAATGCCGCAATCGTTTCCCTTCGCATCGTTAGAACAGTAAGTTTACGGTACGATAAGTATTGTGCAATTAACATGTAGGGGAACAGATAAATAACGAAGAATACGAACTGCGTTCAATCGGAGAACATAATCGACGGAAAAAACGTGCAGATGAAATCAGGAATGCTATTTACGGTGCATTCAACTCCAGGAAAGACGATCGAGTGACGGAAAGAAGAGGCGAACGAGGACCATAACACGCCCTCTATGTCAAAACTACTATTATCGACAACATCGAAATATTACAGACAGTTTCGATATATCGATAACATCGTTAACGAAATATTGCACTTTAGAACGCAATTTTTTGGAGGGAAACGGTAAAATATTTTTGTATCAAGTTTCAACACACAATTTTAGTTATTTAGCTGTGCATTTAACAGAATCGTATCTTGCAATAATATAGCTACTCGCGTAAGAAAGATTATAAGGTTATGTTGATCGTATAAGGTTTTAGATTTATTCTTTTAATAATTTGCTTTCAATGTTTTATCGAACAACGTTGACTGACTGGTTTTCAAGGTTTTTTTATTGCTTTCCTCGCATTCCAAGTACACACGTAACACGAAGAGAAATTCTATACGTTTAGGCGAGTGTTCGGTACAACTGTAGCAAATGGCATTGGGTGTTCCTGTGTATCTACAATTACGGACAGAAGTATAGACACAGCATGCAATTTCTCACACAAAATTTTTTGTTTCATGTAATATTGAAAAATAGAGAATCCAGCTGTGATAGTCTTTGCATGTAATTTTGGTACACCCTGTACAATTTCCATTGTTGTATAATGCGAAACGAGGCGCAAAAAATTATGGAGAATCGTATTGATACGCAAAAGTGAAAATACAATGTGCGTAAAAATTTGAAAAAAATATATACGATGCGTAGAAAGGAAAAGAAAAAACAAATGAGTCGAGTCGAATTATGTTCGATCAAATGTAAATTAAAGAATTCGGAAATCGTATGTTTCATTGCAGCTACGATCGTATGCCAGGGTAATTAGAATAATGATATCGATATTTTACAGTGGGTCATAAAATTATTCGCTCGGTATCTGTTTCTATAAACATGTGTTGGAATATTACTGAATCTTCATTATCGAATGGATCTTGCGTTAATATCTCAATTTGGGAATGAATTTTATCAGATCCATAGTGACATGTCCTGTCATCCGTACGCAGGGCCGTCTTGGTAGCGTCACAGGCCCCTGGACAGAACCGCAGACCGGGGGAGCGAATAATTCTTTGACCCTCCGTGGCTCGATCGAAGAGAAACCGAAGGTATTTGCATCTAACGAATCGTACCTGGAAAGACGTCCTTGGTGTCGGGATTATAAGGATGAATCCATCCGTTTCTCTGCTGAATAATGCACTGGAACATGTTGCCGGGCTAAGCGTAGGTCTCGATTCGCGTCGATCGGTCGAACGTACATACGAGAGAGAACAGCAACGGAAAAGGAAGGACGACGAAACAGGGTTGAAAAGAGACAGGAGTTCCGTTATAGTTGGCAAACTCCTTCAATGGGCCACCTTCTGTCCCTCTGTTCCTCTTAAAAATATCCCCGGACCACTGGAACGAACCTCGCGATCGAGCTGCTAGCCAAGTTATCGATTAATCGATCGTATCGCGAGCCCACGATTTCTCGGTTTAATTTTCGGGGTTTACTTCCAGAACTCACCACCGGCAATCTAGTCCCTTTCAACCAATCTGTGAATCGATCAGACGCGCACGTACGATCGACATCGATTCCAACCGTCGTAACACCGAAGAAAACAGAAGAAGCCGAGCATCTTGCAACGATACGAAACGATTTATCTGCTCGCGGCGTAGCATCGAAACACACCGAGCACTTCGTCGATTTCCATTACGTTTCTGTATTCCCACGGGTCCCCGGTTTCATTTTTCTCCCAGATTTTCGTCGCCGCACGTACGGTCATTAATTACGTCTCGTCTCGAAATCATCTCTCCCCGTGGCCGGTTCGCACATGTGTCTCCTGTACCTCTCTATCTGTCACCTGGGGCCGGGGGGTCTCCCTCTTCCTGCTTCGCGTTTTCTTCCCTTCGGGCTCCGGTTCCACGGCGCGAAACACTTCCGAGGGCCCCGGTACTCTCGTTCTCGTCAGCAAAACGAAACTGTTCGAAAGCGATATACTCGCTGTGTTCGGCGCACACACACGCCGCACGCAACGCGCTCGAGCCCCAGCTCCCACCGGCCTTGAAACGTGCAACGGGGACTCTAACCGAAACCCATCGCGCAGAAAAACGTTAACGGCGTAGAGACGACACTTTTCCGTTGGTACGGAACCACCAAGGGGGGCTAAAAAGACCGCGGCCCCGAGCAGAGGAACGTCGGGGAAACAAAGGCGCGGCAGTTTCGGAAATTTAAGAACGACAAGGAAAGGAAATCGAAGGCAGAGAGGCGGTTCGCCTTCTCCCGTTGCTCCTACGGCCAGAGAGGGTGGCCGGTCGGCTGGCTGGGATCGAACTAGATGGCTCGTCGCCAGGCAACCGGATTTTCTCTCTCTTTCTATCCACGTTCTCGCTCCGGGATCTCCCTCCCTTTTCATTCGTTCTCGCTTCGTACGGTTCTCCCCCTTTCTCTCATTCGTCCGTCTCGGTCCCGTACCGATTCTCGTCCCGGCGTGTTCGCTCTAACCGTCCTCTGCCCCACCTTTCCTGCCTCTCTGTTGCACTCCCTCGTTCGCATCCAAGGCGCAGTTCACCGGTTCCTCTCACCACCCCCTGCATCCTACGGAACGCAGAGGATTCTCTCGTACCTTGGCCGACGACTTTAGGCCGACCACGCACCGATCTTTACCGAGCATCCGAAACCAGCGTCGGCGCAAATTTTCATTTAACAAGGATGGAACGCAACATTTTCACGAAAGGACGACGTTAGAAATCGTCGATTCTTAGCCTTCACCAGGAACCGAAACATTTTAATAAGAGATTCTAGAGGCCGAAATAAGACGAAACTCAACAATATCAATTTGTTGATAGAGGCTTCGTTAAAAAGTTATTAAAAAATTAAATTACACAATTTCAAATCGTTCTGGGAAATTATTTTCGGTTGCAGGGGTCAATTACAATCATTTTTGGTGAATAGACATACCCTCGAAATTCTATCCAGTTTCGAGAAAAAAATTCACGAAGGTGGACAAATTTTTTGACGGAAAAAAGAAATTTCAAATCATTTTGGAAAAATTATTTTCGGTTGCGGGAGTCAATTGCAATCATTTTTGGTGAATAGACATACCCTCGAAATCCTTCGCATTTTCGAGAAAAAAATTCAGGAAGGTAGACAAATTTTTTGACAAAATTAAAAAATTTCTAATCGTTCTGGAAAAATTATTCTTAGTTGCAGGGGTCAATTACAATCATTTTTGGTGAATAGACATACCCTCGAAATCCTATCCAGTTTCGAGAAAAAAATTCAGGAAGGTGGGCAAATTTTTCGACAAAATTAAAAAATTTCTAATCGTTCTGGAAAAATTATTCTTAGTTGCAGGGGTCAATTACAGTCATTTTTTGTGAATAGACATACCCTCGAAATCCTATCCAGTTTCGAGAAAAAAATTCACGAAGGTGGACAAATTTTTCGACAAAATTAAAAAATTTCAAATCGTTCTTGAAAAATTATTTTCAGATAAGGGGGTCAATTACAATCATTTTTCGTGAACACACATACCTCCGAAATCCTATCCATTTTCGAGAAAAAAATTCGAGAATGTGTGAAATTTTTCGACGGAAAAAAGAAATTTCAAATCATTTTGGAAAAATTATTTTCGGTTGCGGGGGTCAATTGCAATCATTTTTGGTCAACAGACATAACCTCGAAATCCTACTCAGTTTCGAGAAAAAAATTCCTTACTGAAAATATACCGTGTGGCCGGGAATGTTTCTATAACTTTTTAACGAAGCCTCAATCGATAAATTAGTATCCTTGATTTTCGTCTTATTTTGGCCTCTAGAATCTCCCATTAATGTGTAATATCTTGTATCTTCTGAATAAAGCTTTTCAGACGTAAGTTTATTGTTTGACCTCGGTAATACGCGATTCAACGACTAAATGTTTAATCCATTAATATTTAAGTCCGTCGATGCTCGATAAAAGTGCACTGGATCTCCTTATCTAGTGATCGAGGAATTTAAAACACGGTCGAATTCCGTCGTAACGAGCAGAAATCTAGCCTACCCACCATTGTATGGAGGACTAATTCCTAATGAGTTTAATTTACGCGTATTCCCACACGATTGCTCGCCTTTATAACGAGTGTACTATAAGGATATCGAGTTTCGGAGGTCTGAGAAATATTCGTTATAAGATTGAAATGATAGAACTAGGAAATAGACTAAGCAATAATCTTGTTTAACGTTTATAAAACTCCCAAGTTTTTGCAACAAAAATAAAGATAAAATAATGTATTCGTAGAGTTTAACGCTCCTATGACGCAATAATCGTGTCAATAATTCTTCTTTATATCACACTCATAAATGCTCAATGAGATTCAAGTCAAGACCGTATGCAGAATATGCTAATGCGATCGGGACACGTTATATAATACTCATTCTTCGACTCTTTTTGTAGTATGCCTCGGGTCATTGTCCTAGTAGAAGCAATAATTAATCGATACACTGTCTTTTAAATTCCGTACTATTTTAAGATAAACTATTTTATTATTAATAAGGAGAATATGACTATTGACCGTAGGATTGTATTTGATCTAAAAAATGTAGACTTTAGAGTCACGTCGAAATAAAGAGGATTAAATAAAATTAAATAATACACGTTTGAAAAATCACTTTTAATTAAATTGTACCTGAAGGGGTTAAACAAAACCTACGTTGTATGGCGCCTAGTCGATAGAACTGTAAACAATGTTTCTGACCAAGTGTGAAAACTAAAGGTACAGAATCGACTTCCGTGGGCAACTAGGAAGAAACTTACCGAGGGCAATTCAACGGGCAACAAAGACACGAGGGAAATGGGGACTCTCGTGCATATTTTTTATTCGCCGACGCGCTTCGCTTTTCCCATTGTGGTAGCGTCCTGTTCAGTCACTAAACGGCCGATTCCCACAGTTCACGCGCCGATTTCCGTGATACTTATAAACTGGTCGCGGTCGGCGTAGAAAATGGAAAACGCTCGCGAGTCTCGCGACGGCGAATCGTCGTCGGGCGCGGAACTTTCTATGTCGAAAACGTTTCACTCGCGAAAGGAAGAGGGGGGAACGGGTTCGTAGGAAACTCTGATTACAACCGGAGAAATTGTATGCTGCCGATGCGCCGTTTCGAAATCGACTGAATCGCGTAATACCGTTGCGGGACCGTCGAGCGGAAAGTATATCGTGCGAGAGAGAAGGACGAGAGATACGATGATTAGTGGAGAGGGAGAGAGGGTTAACGAGACCGACCCAACCGAGGGAAAAATGTTAAGCTCCGTCTATGCTAAGGTACACATATTATTGCAAAATTTCAATTTCTACTAACGGGGTATTCCCACTTTGGGACGTCTATTATAGGCAATTTTTAAAATAATTATTATAATTCCCATCGTTTTTTTTATCGATAAAATAACATTTTATATTTGCAATTCACACACTGAAAAATTTTAATGAGAGATTCCAGAGGCCAAACTAAGACGAAATTCAAGAATATCAATTTTTTAATTGAGTTTCGTTAAAAAGTTATTAAAAAATTTCGAATCATTCTGAAAAAATTATGTTTGGTTACAGGGGTCAATTATAAGTATTTTTGGTGAATAGACATACCCGCGAATTCCTACGCACTTTCGAGAAAAAAATTCAGGAGGTGCTCGAATTTTTTGGCGAAAATAAAAAATTTCAAATCGTTCTAGAAAAATTATTTTCAGTTGCAGGGGGCCATTATAATCATTTATGGTGAACAGACATATCCCCGAAATCCTACACGTTTTCTAGAAAAAAATTCGAATAGGTGGACAAAGTCGACAAAATTAAAAAATTTCGAATCATTCTGAAAAAATTATTTCTGGTTGTGGGGGTCAATTGTAAGTATTTTTGGTGAATAGACATACCCCCGAATTCCTACGCACTTTCGAGAAAAAAATTCAGGAGATGTCTAAATTTTTCGGCGAAAATAAAAAATTTCAAATCGTTCTAAAAAAATTATTTTCAGTTGCAGGGGTCCATTATAATCATTTTTGGTGAACAGACATATCCCCGAAATCCTACACATTTTCGAGAAAAACATTCGTGTAGGTGGACAAATTTCATTAATAATTTTTTAACGAAGCCTCAATCAACGAATTGGTATTCTTGATTTTCGTCTTATTTTGGCCTTTACAATCTCCCATTGAATACCCTATATATTCGTTAGTTCCAAACGACCCAATAACGCCATGCGACAAAATCAAAAGCAAATCAGTTATGTGACAATATTTTGTTGCATGGCGTAGAGATGCAGCTTAACGGACAGAGATGAAATAATAGCAATAAAGAAAGAGGAAACGGTGGAAGAGAGACCGGCTGGTCGCTGGTAGGGGAATCAATGAGCGTCACTAGCGCTACAGCTTTTGGCTCCCTCCTCGTCACTCCCGTTGAGATGTACTCTGGTACAACAGACCGTGCTCTCCCAACGCGTGTTCTATATAGACTCGTTCAACCCTCGAAGCGTGACCGTGACTGTGACTCTGATGAAACGAAGTGCGCGTGTCCACCATCGTGTGTACGTCGGGGCTCTGCGCGCCTCTATTTCGCTGCGTCCCGCCTGTGACTCGTCTTTCCACGTGGAAACACACGGCTCTCCGTTCCACGGCCGTTGTTTAACGCGGCACACGTGCACTATACACGCATGGCGGCCTCGACTAATCACAGTTTTCATTTGGCCCGCAATTGTTGACCCTCGCCTCGACGGTCGCTTCAACGACACCGCGTATGATCTTCCCCGTTTCTTAAATGGAGACGCGCTGAGTACACGAAATTTCAGACACCTAAGTCTTTCGAACTCTGGTATCCTAAAATCGAAATCGAGTCGGGTCGGAACCCCCAATACTCAATTTTACTCGTAGCATTCGTGGACCCGATCTTACTGTCGTGGGTCAGATGATTTTTCAACCGACTTTTACAGAGTTTCTTTCTACGTAAATTGCAATTACAATTGTGGCGCTGCTGCGGGATGGAACTCGGAGATATTCGTAGTACAGAAAAAGGAAAGCAGGGGGCGCGTTTAATCCCGGGCCTGCTAGTGGTGGACTAATCGGTAAGGCTTCCTAGCAGGTCCAGCCTTAGACGACTGGGTTATTAGGAAATCGGTCGAGGATTGTACATACAGCAACCGAGGGGTCGGTCGAGCGCGACCCCTCTGGTGGCGAGAGCATGAGAGGCGACGCCACACAATTGTATACCGATCTATTAGTTGCTAAACTTACCACAGAGGGCCAAAAGCTCGAAGGAAATTGAGGTTATAAATAAACGCTATGACATTCTAATTCAATGTGACCATTGTATCGACTGCACTTATCCTTTTAATGGATGCACGACTACCACGAGGCGTTGTACGCATTGTTATTTCAGTTGTAAACGAATCCCATAAAAAGAATTACTCGGTGAACGAGATTCGAATCCGCGACCTCGAGCATATTAATTCTTCTATCGCTTACGCCACGCGCCACTTCGATGAAAGTGACAAAGATTGATATTCATAGCAGTGCTGTATGCAGGGCATAACTCTGACAGGGGTACGTCTAATGGAATTTTTGAAGAAACGTACAAGCCACATGGCTATACTCGTACACTTTGTTTATTTTAATTTCTTGTTATTTTGGAATGTTCGTTTAATACTTCCTGTACAAAAATTGAAACATTTCTACGAATATTTAATAGCGTTAAGACGTTTAATCTCTTTTCAATAAAATAAATTTTTATCTCGAGTCTATTGTTTTATTTCGTTCCTTTAAAGAGTAACCTATCCCGTTCCCTTCGGTCCAATCACGTATTAAATCTGATACGTCATAAAAGCACTTACGAAAAATGCACTCTGAACCTCGCGTATTAGCAAGTGGATGGGTCAGCCAAGTGGTTCAATTGAATACCGCGCCATTTCATTGATGCTGCTAACCTTATGCTGAAAAACTGCCGGCCATTGTCGTTCCTAAGCTCTGTTCATTTCAAACCCAACATTATTCCTTTGAAACCTTTCAATTCCCTTAATCCAAAACACTACCTGAACATCGTTGTTCGAATATTGCTATTCAAATATCGCTATATGAATATTGTGTACCAACCAAATATCACTATATTTAAATATTACTTAAATATTAAGATATACAGCTTTAACGATAAAAATGAAGCTTATTATAGGCTCTGTTTATGATCACGTTTAGGTCACTGTCGTAGGAATTGGAACGCGTCCAAGAAATCAGTTTTAACACTAAATTTACGAAACCCATCGGTTTTATGGGTCTCAGATTCCATACTTAAAGTTACAGGACTCATAAATATTATTTATTAGCAATTCGTATTGAGCTTGATCGACGTAACAAGATAGATATACAGCAAGCATTAATATTTGTATAGCGACGGTTAAATAGTAATATGCAAACAGAGGTATTAGAATTTTATTTATAGCGTTTGAATATTTGTCAAATGTTCGTATAGTCTTGCTGCATTTCGTGTTAACGTGGAAATCTTACATCCGTCGGTAGCTATAGTAGGCGAAGTTCATTCAGCGTGCAACTATTCTAAAACTGAATCTCTATTTGTGATCATTGTGTAGTACCGCTATTTTGAAGCCAAAGATCGTTCGGGATTCCGACCTTCGTCCAGATAAGCGTGCAAATTCAATAATACCACTTGGCCTTCTCGCCATACGTATATTCCGAAGTCTTTGTTGCGAAACAATCGAGGAGTCTGCAGGAAAAAAGAGGAACGTCAAATTTTAACATTTTAAATAAATTCTCCGATACGTTTTCAATCCAGTAATAACGTTGATGTTTCCGAACAACTAGAACAATTACTATTTAGAATTCGAATTACCCCCATAAAGTAACCTAAAAATGTATCATCGTTACGAACGACTTCTCTTCTAATTCCTCTAGTAATAATTTATCTCGATTATTGGCTCGCCTTGATGATTATATATCGTACACCTAGATTAAAATTACGATCCAATAAAACTCACTCTTCGAGTCAATTAATTTGACAATGATACGCACGAAAGGGGGACGCGTTATTTCTTTGTAATTACTTTCTCGTAACCCGCTGGAATCGTGCTAATTAAGCTTAACTAAAACGAATGGTTCTATTCGAGTGCGAGACTGAATGTACAGGGTGTTCGTAGTAACGGTCGTCACGTCTTTTCGGGCTACGGCGAAAACTAGAAAAAAGACGGCGCTGGACGATTTTCAGTGCGAACCATTGTACGTTTATAAAATAAAATGAACTTTTGGTAGACACGAAAACGCGTGTATTATTTGACGAGGCTGCGAGTATACATAATTCGTATGCTGCCAGGTTACCGGGATCGATATTAAAACAGACAATGTTGCAGCCGTACGGACGTAAATACAAAAGCCAGAATGCATAGAGGAAACAGTCAAGCCAGTCACGCACGACTGCGAGGAAGCAGTCGTGGTGAACAAGGCAACTGTGCGCATGCGCCCGTGGGGCATGAAAAAATATATAGATACCACATCTACGCGGCGCCTGAAAATGCTAACGCGCGTGTATGCGTGGTGCGTACCCAAGGGAGAAAAAAAAAAAAGAGGGAGCAGCCAGCAGCAGCAGCACCACCACCAGGGGCGGACGATGTTGAAACAAAACAAAAACGAAGTTGAAAGTTTGTAAACGGAAATAGGGATAGGCATCCGATGCACACTGTTCCGAGAACTTACAATCAAATCGAATTATACGAATGCTGGACACGTTTTACAGCAAACCAACGATCGAAGGAAATACCGTTTCGAATATTATGAAAAAAAAATTTCAAAATTTTTTCAATTCTCGATCCTGTACGTGCTTTAGCGATAACGGCCAGGAAAATTGATCGTTTGTACACGCGAACGTTGCAAATGGGTTAATCCCTGATCCAAGAACGCCACAAATCGTATTATCGAACCACCGTATCGTGCGAACGTGTATCGGACGTTCGGAATAATAGAAGAGCGATATTTAACAGTAGTATTATGTAAGAAGAGTTTTCGCCGGAATACAGAATGCCGTGAAACCGATCCCTGTTGCTTCCCACGACTTTAATATGCAGACGAGGCAGTTTCAAGTGCGCCGCGCCAACATTTCAAGCGGGAGACGTGCAAGCACCTCATTTGTCCCCATCGAGTGCCATAGGTGCTACACGATCGTACATACATCGATCAAGCGAAACGAAACAAACCTTCCTTTATTTTTCCATTTTTAGTAAAAAAATTCACGATCGATTTATCGAGAAAAACCGTGCTTTAAGAATGTAATAATTTTCAAAGGCGTCAACGAAACCCTTAAAATTATTTTCTATATTTTCAAACAATTATTTCCACAGTTATCTGCGTCAAAAATCATCTTCAAAGAGAAAAATAAAACCATCGAAATAACGGTCATGTACATAATATTTTGCATCAAAGAACAGTGCATGTTGTACGAGAATTCATATTAATTTGAACTTCTGCCTTCGTCCGTATTGCAAACACGCGATCTACGGTACAGTACAAGCAACACCTTTCTCTACATAAAAACATTGACGTTCACATCATTCTTCGAAATCTCGCACTCCTAAGCTCTCGTGCAGCGCGTTGTAGCGAGATTTTCTAACATCTGCTGTCCATACTGTCCTCAGATTCATCTCATACTTATATAAATCAAACACGTTACGCGTTCGAAAACACGTGCAACGCGTTAACGTATTCTTAAAACTTGCTGCTTTATTCGTCGCGTCGAATAATTTGCACCTGCTTGTTTAAAGGAAATTTCATATCGAAGAAAGCTCGCTGGTTTTCTAACAAAAATTTTCACAGCAAACTCCGCGGAACGAGAGAAAAGCTTTGAATAAAGTTACTATTTTCAAACCCCTCGCATCGTGGGAAACGAGCTCGCCTGTAATCGGCAAATCGTACGCCGATCGTCGCAAAAAAGTTGACTTTCCCTTTGGATAATGATAGGAAAAACAAAACGAAGAAAGGAAACTAGAGAGAAAGAGAGAGATGGCACAAGTGCGTGGCTAGAACTTACTGTTAAAGACGAGCAGCTTCCGCGTGGAGCCAAGCCTCTTGATAGGCGACTTCACGCCGTCGATTTCTTCTTCGTCCATCGCGGTTCACGCAATGCTTAGATTTCTGGCAAATCCCCACTGGCTGGGGAATGTTGTTCGCGTCCAACCACGCACCAACAATTTCTATGAACGCGAGCAAAGAATACTTGTCACAGTTTACAGCATTCTCGAGCACGAGGAGGTCACCGCTTCGTTGCGGCGAAACCGGTTTATCGGGCAGCGTTAGTTATTTTTCTACGATCCGCACTAGACGCGGTATCAACGGGTACATGTGCCGGCCGTGCATTCGTCCAGCATATTGGCAACAAAAAAAAAAAAAAGAAAAAATATCGCGTAAAGGAAAGCGAGAAGAAATGGCAATGAGCGAGCGGAGCGAACGAACGAGTGAACGGCGAGTTGTTTTATGCGTCGACGGAACGAATCACGATGCTACGGGCGAACTTAGCTATGACGCGGGTCACTGTGGTAACGCCGATTGGTTTCTGGCTATCCCGAAGCACACCGAGGATATTCTTGGCCTCCCGTATATTAATTCAAGTTCGGGGGACCGGCGTCGCTACCGCCGTCACCGTCGCCGTCACCGTCACCGTCGTGCATCGTCACTTGGCCGCCACGCGCGTCACTTTTGTTGCTTAGCAACTCTTCGTGGCAAGGTTACGGCACCATGCTGCCATCTATGGTCCCCATAGTTCGTGAACCTCGACTTATCGTTCGAACAGCTAGGGGATGTTGTGGTAAGATGGGGTAACAGCAAAAATCTATGGCGATCGGCCTGGTACGCCTCTACGGTCCAACAGCCGAAGCTACAGCGGAACTCTTCCGCATCTACAGCAACCGAAATTAATGTACCATAGACGAAATATAAGACCTCGTCTATGAGATAGACTATGCACCTTATGAAAGTTGGTGTTACACGAACTGAAATACCAACTTCAAAAATTATTCAAACACCGATTACCAGGTCTCATCATGAGAAGATTGATGTGAGCGGAGACCAGAAAGGAGATAGATGGAATCTAAGTTCTATCAATGTCCTTTTCACATTCTTATAATCCAGATTATAGGAAGAATCGAAGTTCTTTCGATTCTCAAGAAAATCTGTCAGTAGAAAATCGACTTTTTGACCGAACGAATCGATTTTTTGAAGAATCGAATCGAATCTCTAAGGGTGCTTCGCGCGCCCTCTGATTCGAGGTTCTTTGTTTACAACCTGACCTATGACAAGAGAATTCCGGTACTTTCGCGCCAAATTTATTAATCATAATGAGAGGGAATAGTTAAAGAATTTTGGTGTGATATAATTTTTAATAGTGTCTAGGATTGTGTTCGAATTATAGATCGTCAAAGATTATTTAGAAAAGTTTGGTAATTTGGTTTTATTCGTAGCTGTTTATATGGTTATGGAAACAGTAACAAGCACATGACAGAAAGTACAAACTTGTATATTGTAATAACGATTCATTCGGACAAAACAGATAAAAATTGAACTTGTATGAAAATGAGTGAAAGTTGCGACGTCAATTATACGAATGGCGAAAATATGTCTAACAAAGGCGATGAATCCAGTGAAATAGAACTTAATAAAGAGACAATAGACTGCATAGAAAAAGTGCAAAATGTATTTACAGAGGCTTCTGAGAGTAAGGAGAACATTGACACAGATATTCCTAATGAAACTATAAAAGAAATAGACAAAGATCTCGTACAAGATGAACCAGACAGTAGCAATGCACATAAAAAGTTTTCAGAAATCATAGATAGCGATTTGGATGATGAGGATTTGTTTCCTTCAAAGACAAAAAGAAAGAAACCTGTGTACGATAGTTCAGAAAATGAAACATCCGATTCCAAGGAGAGTATTAAATCTAAAGCACCTTTGAATAAGAAAAAAACTAAGATGTTTCTTGATAGTGATTCCGATGAAACTTGTGACATTACCTTTAATAATGATAATGTGGAAATTTCAAATGAAGAAAAGGCCACGAACGATGTAAGTTTGATCTGTGACCTAAGATCGATTCGGTTATTAAAAATATTCAAATTCATGTTTTACAGATGCAGAATAGATTGAAAGCTATAATTGATTCAGATTCAGAGTCAGAAGCAGAAGATGAAAAGCAAGTACATCTCATCAAAAGCGGCGCACACAAAAAACAGAAAGAACATTCGGAGCCTAAAAGAAAAGTAAATATCTAAAATATTACACCAGTTGAATGTTTATTTCAAAGTAACCATTATAAATAATTTTCTTTTTAATTTGTTTCTTTAATTTTTGTATCGTAGGTTTCGGTAAGGGCCTCCAAAGAAGAAGCTATGAAACAGATACACAGCGAGACACAGCGTTTGATTAGGGAAAGAGAAGTTTCTCTTCCCTATCACATCCCTAAACAACGAACGTTGCAAGAATTTTTAAGCAGGAAAAAGGTATTATCAGCCCTTCCAAAAGCCTCGACAATGGCAACAAAGTTAAAAATATCTTCCACTATCATCGAGTAAGTAATTTTACAATTTTCGTATATTTATTTTAAATGTTTTTATTACTGAATCGGATGTAATAGTTCAAAAGATTGTAATCTTTTTGTTGAACAGCGAAGCCCTGAAAGAAAAAGAGAAAGAAGCTGAAATATTTTACAAGTCTTCAGATTCGGAAGAAGAAGAGGTAGAAAGTCATTCTCCGGCAGAAAAAGAAAACGCAAATATAGAAAATGCGCAAGATCTTAAGAAAGAAAATATTTCGAGGAAATTATTTGTCGATGACGATTTGTGTATCGATAATAACAAAGAAAATAATTCGAACGTGACACAAGAAGTGCATGAAACTCTAACGGAAATAAAAGATACCGAAAGTAATAAACCATCGACGGATAATATAACAGAAAACAATACAAGTGATTCGGCAATATTAGAAATTCACGGTGAAATTAATGAAAACGAAAACCTTAAATTGGGAACTACGGAGTTAGTCGAAGTAACGGAGAACAAAGTAGACGATTTACTAGAAAAGAAAAATGTTGAAGAGGAAAATGCGAAAGAAAATGCGACGAATAGTATCGATGAAAGTAATAATGAATCTTTAAATACATCTACTTCAATAGTTAGCAATGATTATGCGAAGATAGTACAACAATCGTTAGGAATAGCGGCAGGGGAGTCTGACGAATACAACGAATATGGTTTACCGCCACCTAAGTTCGACGACTCTCCAAATATCAATGAACAGAAAATGTTATTGAGTCGACAAAGGGAGAAACCAAAACTGAAAGGCACGCCAGGTTTAATAATCGACTTATCGGACGATATAAAGCCAAATAAAAGTGGTATAAATGCGTTGATAGATCGATTTGTGTTTAAACATTCCACGAGCAATAAACCAAATAAAAACGCACGCGATGTAACAGTGACGCAAGTTAAAGAATCGCCAAACGAACTGGTGGTGATTAAAGAAACACTTCCGTATAAACCAGCAAATATCGAAAACGAGGATCCTATGTTGAGCAAACCTGGGGCAAAGTTAATGCGCTTGAAGGAGGAATTGAAACATAAAATGGCATTGAAACGCAACGAGGAGTGGAAACAGAAAGAACAAGATATGAAGGAGCAGGAGATAGAATGGAACGAGTCTACGAACGAAGAAGACAATTTGAGCGAACCGTGTTCGCCGAGCATAGAGTCTTATAAAAGTAAAGAAAATGAATTTGACGAAGAGGAAGAAGAAGAAGAAGAAGAAGACGAAGATGATGATATATACGCGAAGAAAGAGAATAAGAAAAGTAAATGTGACTTTATAGACTCGGAAGCCGAGGTTAGTGACGACGAAATGAACGATAGCGATGAAATTATAGACGAAGACGAGGATGAAACTTTGAAGGAAGAAAAGGATTGTGAAAAATTAATTTTGGAAGACGACGACGGTAGTAGTACTTGCGACAGCAGTAATATATCTTTGAAACCTAAAATTTTTAAACGAATCGTCGAAACGCTGGACGACGATTCGAGATCTTGCGACGCGGGAACCAGCGAAGTTAAGAAAACTTTCGACGCGGTCGGTAACGAAGATTTCAGTGGTAACGAAAGTGACATTCCTTTGTCGCAACAGCACGTTGAGATCAATTTAAACGATCAAACGCCGCAAAGGAAGACGAACACCTTTAATTTCGTCTCTCCTCTGACGCAATTAACGGTATTAAATACTGATTCGATGTCCGAAAAGGAGTCTACCAAAGAAGAACAATCGCATGCTAACGAAACCGAAACGATACTCTTGGAAAATTCACAGATCGACGAGTTGTTTCAACCAACACAGAATTCTGGAAAGCAAGCGTCGCAGAAGAAGCTGTTCGTCGATCAAACCAATCTGTTGGACGAGGAGCTTATGGATTTGTGCTCTGGTAAATTCACGCAAGATAAGAACAGTCTCAATTTATCCAAGGAGCCAAACATGACGGAATCACAGTTGTTAGAACTGTGTTCTGGGACGTTTAGTACTCAAGCGAATAATGCGACGAACGCGAGGAATCAGTTATCGACCGAGATGTCGCAGGACAAGTCGGTATTGTTGGACGAAGACTCGCTGTCCATCGAGAAAGACACGCGTAACAAAGAGCAGCCGTCGAAGGAGGATGAAATGCCTTGGAACAGATTAAGCATCGTGTCGTCCGACGAAGAAGATCAGATAGAAACAGAAATAAAACGTTCGAAGAAAAAAGCGAAACGGTTAGATATGTCCGACGACGAGGACGAAAACGCGTCTGCGTCCGGCGACGAGCAGACGGAAGACGAGGACAAATATATAGATTACGACTCGGAAGAGAACGAAGTGGTTGTGTCGAAGAAAAATATAAAGCAATATGCCGCCAACTTTTTGGAGAAAGAGGCCGAGCTGAGCGAGAGTGACTGCGACGTTTCCGCGGACGAAGACGAAGAGGACTTGGACAAATTAGAATTAGAAGAAGTGGACGACGAGGATATCGACGAGACGGAAGTAAAACGACAGTTAGGGAAATTTCATATGAGGCAAGTGTTGGACGAGGATCAGAAAGAAGTGAATATGCTCAAAGAGTTGCTGTTCGAAGACGGGGATTTGTTCAGCGAGAGTAAACGGGAGCGGAAGTTGAGATGGAAAAATATAGGTATGAGATTGAACATATGTTTCCAAGTTGAAATATCGAACATTACGAAGGGTAATCAAAGCTATTTATTAGACTTAGGCTACTTTCGTAATAACTGTCTTGTATGAAAATATTTTTGCATAAAATGATTCTATTGATTTCAGATAAACAGTTCGGTAACGATACTTTTGGACCATCGGAAGATAAAGACGGTTGGGTTGATTTTTCGGACGAGGAAGACGAAGCCAAGTGGCGTAAATTAAGGCACGAAAGGGAAAAGTTCCTGGCAGAAAAGATGGCAAGATAGATTTGAATAATACCGATAAATTATTTACCACGATGAATGTTTTTTTTTTTTTGTTAATCCGCGTTTTATTTCCAGGCGAACGTAAACACTGCGATCGAGGATGATTTAAATAGCAGCGAAGTGTTTAAATTGGGTTTAAAAATTCTGAAGAAGAAACGACTGAACGAAACGGAGTCGCAAGACACGTTGCTGGAGATGAGCGATTCGAAGAGGGAATCAAGAATACCCCACACTATAGCGGACATGTTGAATAATTCACAAGTGGAAGGCAATTCGCGTACGATACATGTGAGATATTAGAAATTGATGTTTATCGAACGGGACACTTTTATTGGAATAATTGTTATTGCGATATGTTTTAATGTTGCAGAGTGTTATGAAGAAACGTTCGTTTCTCGCGAGAGGAGAGAAATCGCTGAAACGATTAGCTGTTCTGGCAAAACAGAAAGATGCGCCGAAGCTGTCGAGAAATGGAAAAAATTTTGTTTTTACGTATATTGAACCGTCCATGGAAAACAAGGACATACCTATCGCCGAAAAGGAACCTCAACAGAATACAGTAAAAAGAAGACGGTGATGCATTGTATTTTTGTGACAATTTTCTGTATATAAAACCATACTTGTGAATGTTACATTTATCGTTTATGTTTTTACGAATGTTTATATTGTATAGATATATTTTTGGAAATAAAGAATTACAACTGTGAAAATAAAGTATTAAAACTGATTAATCTATTTGCTGCAAATAGATATTGAAATCAATAACGCGAGTAATGTAATATGACTGAGAGAGAGAGAGAAATAAATTAGTTTATAGTTCGTGAAACAATAACGTCTAGTAAAATTATTAGCGAGCATATAACGTTAAACACATTCTCGAATTCTACATCTTTTCATTCGCCAATGAATCAATAATATTTAATATAGCTATTTATTAGTAAAATCTAGGAGATTAAACACTGTATTATGTCTCAATATTTTACTATCCGAACGCCTTGATATTCAAACAATTCATAGTTTCGTTACTTTTTCCAGCAATAAATTCCGAATTATTATCGCAACTGAATGTTAAAACGAGCAGCGGTACATATTTCTACGTGTCTTTTAATGAAAAAAAAAAAACATCGGGAAAGAGGGAGAGGCCGATATATGGGATGTTTGTTTAATGTAATTCTACCCAATAATGCGCGTCCTTGCCTAGGGCAATTCTCTCATGCAGCACTTACGTGTAGGTACAGTCTGCTCACAATTTATCACACGAACCGTTTTGAGGGAATGTTACGAGCAAATTGGTACTTTTAAGCTACAAATGCATCGAATAGTTACGTTTGTTACGTTGGAAAACGTTTCGAACAAAAGTTATAGGTTATAAATTTCGTCCACTTTGTCTTTTTGTCGAGATTTTTAATTGCTAGGAACTTACTGTTAAAGACGACTAAAGATATCTATACTTACAAGGAACCAACTCTGCACTAGTAACTTTCAAGAAGATCACATATTACGCGTTAGTTACAACGGAAAACTATACTCCGATCATAATAAGATACGATGCATAAAGACCAAAGAAAGCAATAAAATTGGTTAGGTTAATGGTCACGATATTATAGAAATTCGTCATTGTGTGACGTGTGCTTGAAGGACCACGATATAATAAAACTTACTTACCAAGGAAGGCGTACAGAATGCTTACCAGGTACAGGTAGAGTTTCGAAGTAGCAGGAGCAATTGCATCGCGGGATTGTAAATTGCGATTCGTTCGAATTGATGTTCCGTCGACGCTGCGGGATCGCAACCGTAATAGTGAGAGGCGTAGGCGGAAAGAAAGGGCGCAAGGAAGGAGAATCGCAGGTAGGAAAGTAGCATCTAACCGCAAAGTAACAGCCGTCGTTGAAAGCGATGGGTGGGAGATGTCGTTGATTCGGTGGCGAGGCGAGGGCGCTCGGGGCTGTGATGGGAACTCGGGATAAGGGTGGCTTGTTGCGTAAGCCGATTAGAGCATCACGGCAGTCACTCCTGTCTCGTGCGGCGGGATGGTGTTCCTGGTGCTATTGGTGCACGGGACGCGGATATGCCGGGCAGAGACATTAAAATCGCATCAAATATGTAGAAAGCCGCCCTCTCGCTCCCTCCATACCGGCGGATGCGGGAGCACTCGTCGACATCCGTGCAGGCAAAAAGCTTGCCTATCCTGGAAGTCGCTTCTCCTTCTTTGCCCGTACATTTTCCTTCAGACGCGTCCCACAGAATTCACCCGAAACTCGAAACTATCGGGTCCCCGCGTACGAACCGTTTGACGCAACGCGTAGGTTAACTTTTCGACAATTTCACCGTGACGGTCTATCCGTTCGATGAGGTTAGTTTAAATGGCTTCATCGGCAGGGCTGTAAAGGACTTTAGGGATTTAAATTCACTATATCTGTAATTCAATTTGACTGGTGGACACGTATTTTTGCGTAGGGTGAAAGTGACGTGGTTTGATTTCATTCCACTGTATCGTTCCATTCTACGACGATACGATAGCATACAGGGGAAGAGTAATACGTAAAAAGGCAAAGTAGAGAAATATAATCGTAGCAAAATACGAAGGCTAGTAGAAATTAATCTCCTAACTTTGCATGCGTCGTCGCCATTGTTGAACGTCAAGGTATCCGTGTTAATACGCGTTTCTTTGTATTTTTAAAATTTTTAAACACATGTTTCAGAATCGTAAAATATTGTTGTGTGGGACCTAAGCAAAGATGAACGCTGTTTAAACGCTGAACTTTTCCAAGAACCAAGAACAGAACGTCGACAGAATGTTTCGTTCGCTATGTAAATATTTCGTTCGAATGATTAATATCTGGTATGGGAATAGCATGAAAGTTCTATATGGAAGCATATATCGTGTTCCCCGACCGCAAAATAAACAAAATCCGTGGGAGTGTCGTGTTCGCGCTGGTAAACGCATAATCGATCACGCGCTTCCGCGGGCGCGGATCAAAATTTCATGCTCGATGTAATCATTCTATCGATGGAAGGAACAAAAACAAACGGCAAATGATCCATTATTACGGGCAAACATCGCGCGGGCTAATACAGTTTGCGGTAAACGTAAAATATAGGTATTAACGCGGGATAAGTCGGTCGATACGGATTTGCTATGATTATTTGATACTTCGCGAAACATTTTACCACGCGTTGCACTCTCCGCTTCCGGCTACGCGTGCACGAACGGCTGAAAACACCGTTGCGCGTTCAATGCTCGAATTACGGAGCGCTGGGAACCACCGATTCCACGTAGCGCGCGCTCTGATTCGTCGACGCTCGCTCGAATCTACGGAGCAGTGATTATTTGTCGAAAATTTTTCCACAGGGTACGCCAATAAGAGCCACGGAACTTTGAATTCTCACAGTCCCGTTAGAGGACGAAGTAAAAGTTCTGAAAAATGCAAGAACGAGAAATATAAAAATTTTCTGTTCTCCAAAAGCAACGAATAATTAATAAGAAATTTCGGTCGCTCCAAACTTCGAGCTTTTCTGTTGCCATATTTTTTCATGTTTTTTTCCCCATCGACGCCATTTTGAAAATTTCCTCGCGACCGAAGAAATATTTTATCGGATCGATTGCTTTTTGATCACCATTTCAAAGAAAATATCGAGTCTGAGGCTAAGACGCCGTTCTGAAAGGTGTGTTGGAACCCGACAGCGTGGGAACATTTCAACCGGTCGTCCACCGCGTGGCTGCACGTGACAAACCTGCAATTTAACGACCATAATTGCGCGCGTGCGAGCGTAGCAAAACCCCACGGATATTCGAGCGTTGGCGCCTTAAGAATACGTTGCTTTTATTAAATAACGACAATACAACCGTACCGTTCTCCACGCGACAGACAGAATGCGAAATAATTCTACGATACGCGTCGCGAGGACAATTGTCAACCTGCGTGGGGGTGGACGCACAAGCCTTAAGACCCCCGCGGACGCTGATGCATCGGTTCGAGGGGTTATTCTACTGTAAAACGCCTACTCCTAGATTTTTTTTTTCCACACTTTGTTTTTTGGCACAGAAAAAGCATATATAAAATACTGTCGATAATTTTGGAGTACCAAAATATTGGAATACCGCGAATAATAGAAGCAAACGACCTGTAAAAATGACATAATATCATAAGTAGACTGAAGATGTTTATGCATTTATGGGAAATTTTAATACTGAAAAAACTACAGAATGCATTTAATATGCAAAAATATAAGAAATACTTAAAGTAAGATACGAATTATTATATTTAGGGGTTGAGACAGCCCTCTGTAAAGCTTCCGTTTCATTAATTCTATTAATAAAAATCATCATAAGGAAACTAATAAACTTTAGTCGAACGTTTTATAATTTTTCCCAACAACGTGCAAACTTCCAAAGTTTACCAGACAGGTCGAAAATCCGCAGGAGCTGCCGGTTTCGCGGTAGCATCGTAATCTCTTCATCTTCTTACTTAATTACCAGCGGCGTATGTTCGATTAATCGTCGTAAATAATTTCACAGCGCTGATGGATTTCCCGTCGACGTCAACGGACCGAAACGTGTGAACGTGTGGAGACTTTAGCCGATTTCCGCGGTTAATCTCCACCCTTGGGAACCGTTCAGACCGGACAATCGGGCACTGTAATTGGACGAGAGCCCTTTGAGGTCTCGTCAAGACGTTCGCTCGTTCCGTCAGATCAGTGGCAATCAACAATCAACGAAATCGTTGACAACTCCCCGTCTTTGCTTATGACTACTTTTCCAATCCTTCGTTAACCTTTAAAGGACTCTTTTTAAGTCTCGCAGATTTCGTACTGATATTCCACGAATCGACGGATACAAATTTCAACGTCAACCCTTTAGTGCTCGGTTGGAGGTTTATAAACGAATAGGGATCTTCGATGAGAGCTACTTTCGTTTTCGAATATAGCACTATGGATGAAACTGAAACACTATTGCTTTTTCTTCGATGATTCCGAAAAGACGACTAGAGTTACGTTTATCAGGTATATAACTGAACAACTGTATAATATAAGAAATAATAATAGTAGTAGACTCATAGTAATAAACGTGAGAAGAATTTGAGAATTAAGGAAAAATTCTTAAAGAGGAGCAAATATCGAACAAACTGCAACCACGGGTAAAATGAACGCACGTTTTGCTCCCAAGGATGCATAGAAACATGCTAGGAGAGAACGTTTGGTTTTTCGGTCAAGGCCAAAAGTGGGCAATTTCGTCCTTTGGTCGAGCGTGGGTAGGAAAAATATTCGTCGAATCTAGCTGGACGTAGGGCCGCGAGGGATTAAGTACTGTTCGTCCGGTAGCTGCGCGGCAGCGTCTGTACCGTACACCCACATTCATTAGTTACTTACGCGGTCGACGGGGCGGCGAGCGTTTACACGAGCACGCGCCAAAATTTCAGCGAAGTGGTGGAAGTCGCGAGCGGTGGTGGGGGATGGGGGCTGGAGGACGATCGACCAATCGGAGCCGAGACGTCAGCGAGCTCCCGGGCGGAGCGTTCAAATATACCAGACGCGGTGCAGGCGTTCTTCTGTCAAACGGCGTTCGGCCGTCGAGAAGGGCGATCGTGTGTAAAACTTTTCCCCGAAAAGGGGGACTCTGAGAATCAGTCCCGGTGACTCAGTGACTGGAGGTCGGGTGCGAAGAACAGATTGTGCGGGAATAATTCGACGAGACCGTGGTAAACGAAAAGAAACAACTAAATCATGAAAACCGTCGAAGTCCCGAACGTATGGTCGGTGTAAACGTAACATTGGAGAAAGAAGCAACCGTCGAAGGTGTGCGATCAACATGTTGCACAGTTCTTTGCCCCGGGCGTTCCTGGCCCCCGGGTTGAACTATCTGGGCTACTATGGCGACGAGATCCACCAGCATCCGTACTGCACGCCCGCTACCTGGCACATTCCCATGGAGAATCCCTCGAGCTACCCGAGGGTTCCCGAGCAGCACGTTCTGCAGACGTGGGACCTGTCCAGGTCGTCGACACCGTGCCCCCTGGACCTGTCCCTGAAGCCGCCGCCCACGCCGAGCACCCCGAAGACCGAGGAGCCCAAGAAAGCACACAGGATCCTCAACGATCTGCAGAAGGAGTCCGAGAGCACCAGGTACAGAAGGAACAGCGAGGATGCGGGCTCCCTGGTCGTGGACGACTTCGACGCCCTGCCGCGAAGCTCCTCGGTTCACAGTCACTCCAGTTACGAGCAACTGCTCTCGAAGAACGACGCGATCTCGCTCCAGGACTCCGCGGAGAAGCCCTCCGTTCCGTTCGGTTCGCCCAGCGACGTTGCGGCGAAGTCGTATTACGCACAGAGTCAGAAGCTTCTGCTGGCCAGTCCCGGTCACTTGCAGTCGGAGCAGGGCTACCATCAGCAGCTGCTCCTGACGCCGCAGCATCACTTGCAGGGCATGCAACACGCGCCCATGACGCCGCCCAGCACGCCCTCGCCGCCTCATTGCTCGCGAAGAAAGGTCAGAGAGGAGGACGCCAGTCCGGCGTCGTCGATGACAAACAGCGGCTCGAAAATCGGCCCCGCCGAGAAGCTGCTGCAACGACCGAAGAAGAAGCACGCCAGGCGGCTCAAGTTCGACGAGGACACCAGCAGCCCGGTGTCCGGGACCGTGATCCTGGGCCCCGACGAGGCGGTCGTCACCGGGGACATCGATCCCGCCTTCAACATCGTTGAAGTCACCGAGGAGGCGCGCGCCGAGCTAGCGAAGATCGAGAACCGTCTGGGCCCGTATCAGTGCAAGCTGTGCAGACAACTACACGAGGATGCGTTCCAATTGGCGCAGCACAGGTGCTCCAGGATAGCCCACGTCGAGTACAGATGCCCCGAGTGCGACAAGAGGTTCTCGTGCCCCGCGAACCTGGCCTCCCACCGGCGATGGCACAAGCCCAGGCTTGCCAACGGCGAGCACGCGTCCACCGCCAACGGCGTCGAGATACCCTGCACCAGGTGCGAGGCAAAGTTCACCAGGCAGGTCGCCCTCAGGAAGCATCTGGCCACCCAGCATCCGGAAGCGAACAACAACGTCCTCATCGAGGCACAGGGCACCGTGGCCAAGGCGGACGTCGCAGCGGCTCAGATGGTCTCGGACGGCACCCTGGCCACCGAGATGCCCTGACACGAGTTCCCCGCGAGACCTTTGCCCCGAAGACCCGGACTCTATTGGAGATTCGGACTCGATCTGTAATTATTTACCAATCTTATTTCCATCTCTGCCCTAAGATCGCATCGGCTGCCCCGGACCAAGTCTCTTTGGACCGTTGCTATTTCCGTAAAATTCCTTCAGTATACGAGTAAATGACTATGAGCCACGGTTCATTGAACAATCGTTAATAAGGCTATTCCATATACCAAATTCATGCAATGAAAAATTACCGAAATCGGCTCCTTTTTATCGTACCTTTTTAATAATATGCCTTGCAGACGTTTGCTTAACGGGGTTTCCCACGAATTCAGATAATCCAATGGTGTGTCGGTTACTTTACAGCATTCCTAATCAAACTAGCGTAGAACTTTACATTTCCCATTGTCAACGAATACATTTATTATAGTTTTTAAACAGATTAACATGTTGCAAACCCGCTCGACTCAGCCACCAGCGGCCACCGCGACAGCCAACGCGTTAAAAAATTCAGGCCTCGAACTAGCTTTGCTCCATCGTCCTCCGCCTCTTTCGATTCATAATCGATCAAACGGCAAAATAAATAATTTTCTCAGACTTTACGAGCCTCGTACGTAACGTTTACGTTACGATTCTCGTCCCAACCCAGACCATAACCCTTTGACCATCCGCGTTTAGACGCCAACAGCCGGGAGCGATGGCGGCACGCGCGCGGAATCGAGTTTCGTCCATCAATGAAAATTAAAATTGCTCCTCATTGTGTTCGCGCGAGACCCTCGCCGATGGATCAGCCGTGGCTTTGTCGATAAAAGTTAATCCGGACGCGATTTTCGTCCGAACAATTATTTAATCACAGCAAATCCTCGACGTGCGGCGAATTAATTCGTTCCGGAGCTTCCCGCGCGACTCGAATTCTGCACAACGTGCCCGTTAACCGATGGTTGTTCCACGTGAAAAAATGAACCAAAAATGGTGGCGAATATTTTTCCATACGAGGCTTTGTTTTCGAGAAAAACCGGTACGAACAACGTTTCGTCAATGTGCAAGCCAGTCTCGCGAGGATCGGTACTCAAAGGTTGAATATAATTGTTTCTATCTGGCGTTGAATCTTACATTTTAATTCTGTACACTTCCTGTGAACATTCGATCACATACTAGGCGTTTGATTATTGAAAATGGGAAGTTTCTCTTGGTCAACGAATGGCGAATGAATACCTCGATGAACAGAGAGGTAAGAGACAGTCAATGAGAAAACGTGTCTAGGTTTTTTTATTTTCGCGAAACAAAAGAAATCAGCTTCGTATTTTTTTGATTTGGTAACAGCATTTCAATTCTCATAGATTTGAGACAATGATCGAAGAGAAGCGCACGAGGAACGTAAAGTGGCTGGCTCGGTTGTATATTCGCGTAGAATTAGGAACGCTGAATCAATTAGGTTAATCCGGTGTTCGTGTGATGTAAATGTGTAGATAGGGTGGAGAGGTCGGATGTAAACCGTGACCGCGTGTAAATAACGGGCTGCATTTATCCGTGTTACCTAATATTTATTCCAGCCGACGCGCAGCGTGTTATTTCCGCGGGAATTCGAAATGAATTCATAACTTTTGGATTGATCAATCCCCGACGTCGGGCGTTAAAGTTTAATGCGCCCCGAATAAATATTCGGAATATTACGTATCTTCGTTTTAAAGTAAACACAATATTGTTGAAACAAAATTGCCTGACAGCTCGAAAGTAACTACAGTATTGATTACAATTTACATACATCAAATTGAATCGCACTCGAAACAGGAAATTGTTGGGACACGCTGCGCGACGATCGGTCATTTTGTAGCTTAAGTAAACGTGCTATATCGCGTTAGGTATATCTAAGGAATTATCGATCCGCGGGATCGTGATCATACAGCTAAACATCAAAGATAGTTAAGGCAGTCGAAGTATGTGTATCTAGTCGGAACAGTGATCAACGTGATTACTCTAAACCTTAGAATCCGTAGCTTTTAATAGTCGAGACGAAACTTAGTCGTTAAAATTAGTATTTCCGTGACGATCGATCAACCCCGTTGCTCGAGTAACGTTAACTTGATAATTAACTCGTATAGTTGCTCGTAATTGCTACTAGATATCGTAGTGAGTTACTAGGGACTCGCATAATGGAAATATTTGGTAGCTTCGAACGGAAAAAACAACGCGAGGTCGTGTTAAATTTCATTACGGTACTGTCTCGCTTCTTGCAATTAAATCGGGACCGTCCAGACGTCGTGCGAAGATTTTTGGGCGAAAATTTGCTCTTAAAACCCACTGAATTTTTTAAAAGGTTCTGCAACTCAAGTTTTTCTAAAAAAAAATTCTTTTCTCAAGCTTTCGTAACAAGAATTTTAAACGAAAATTTATGCGAGCAGCGAGGCAACACTGCGTTTCATTTTTCAAGTATATCAATTTTACAGAAACTATCGCCATTAGTCAAAATATTCATGGTGAGAAATTGATATTAATTTCTAGTCAGGGAGCATAATTTAACGATAATTGCCAAACTGTAGAAATTGCATCTAGTCAGGGAACGAAAAGCTAGTCCTCGATGATGGTACTTTGATAATATACGGGGTGTTTCTGATGCAAGTGAACGAGTATTTATTTCAGAGACACTGCGTATATTTACCTACAATTAGAAATATAATATTCGTATTTGATCGACGTTTAAAGTCTAGAAAAGTCTATAGAAAAATTTTGAAAATTTCTGCGAATATTCTTCTCTCGATTTTAGACCGGAAATCGAACCCTTTCGGAGTAAAGAAATAATACGCGAAAGATACTGTTCGTTCGACAATTATATATACATAAATACTATTAGTACATTAAATATCAATATTATTGTTCGATATTTATTCGTTTTAATTGTTTAAGCGCCCCATGGATCAATGCGACTTAAAATGGCATTTAACTGTGTTTAGAAAATTTCTCTATTGAAATCGAATCGTTGCAAACGAGCTATTAACAATTAAATGCCATTTTCACGTCCCCAACGATGCAACGTTTAGTTCGATTTATTTTTTCGTTTCGCCTTATTTATTATTCTATTCGATTAGAATAAAAGAGTGTCATCTAGTCCAAAGCGTGTAGAAGGTACGAACACGTCTGCGAAACACTTTGCAGACGTATCGGTTAATCAATTATTTATAAAGTAGTCTGTATTTATTCTAGCATTGTTCGAACCGAACGCAGAGATCGGAATATAATTGTATTTATCGAAGACTCGAATAATTCGCGCGCAGGCTGTCGAACACGTCTACGCGCAAGCGTTAAATATTAATTAAACAAACTCTAGTCGCAGCTAGCTGTACATACGATCCATAGAAAATGTACGAAATGAATATTAACGGGAAAAATAGAATTTCTAGTCGAAATACGAAACTCTGGGGGAATATCGACGTAGTACTCGAATTTCACCTTTGTTTTGAGAAATTAATGTTTCGAGCACGGTATTTCGGTAGAGGGCGTACGAACATGATCGAATTTGGTCTTTATTGTGATTCCTTAAACAAGCATTTATCGCGAAAGAAAAAAAACTGATAACGGTAGCTCGTTAAAATGCGTTCGATGTATTGAAAAATGGTATAAATACTTGTTTAAGACCGCCAAATTTGCCACTTCAATCGTTTTAATATTATTTTTACTCACAGGTGGAGAAAACTATTTATTATTTAATTGTTTGTTAGATGTAAGCGGCGCGAAAGTATTTGTAATAAGTATCGTTGTAAAGTGTCCCGTTCGCTATAGCTGTTATACAGAGAGGGGCAACATTTTATTCGAATATACCAGATAAAAAATTGCATCTTCGTCGATGAATCCAATTCATTCTCGAGCTTCAATTTTTGAATGAAAATTTTGCCCATCTCTGTTGTTATTTGCAACAGTCAAACAACGGCGAGATTGTAAATACGCGTGCGTTATAGGTTATCGCAAAAGAATTTGTCGACCGTACTGTGCAATGTTGTTTAAAAGTCATTAAGAGCTTATGGGAGTCGAGGAAAACTTGAAAGTATGTAAAATAATTTATTTGTGCATAAGAAATATATTTATCTAGCGATCGTACTTGTAAATTAGATTAATTTCCCTATCGACGACGATTGGTACTATAGATTTTACGAAAAGGGGGCAGCTCGTTAATAATTCTCGATAATTTCATTTAATGAAATTATCGTATCGGGTTGATTGGAAAAATTAAGATCTCTCCAAGAGATCTTGCCAAGTTACGTAAATTTTTTAGGCCACTCAATCTTTAATAACAATAGCTTATTTATACAATCTTAAGCTACAAAGCACCCTTTCTGGGAGAAATTTTGGATAATGAACAGTAAATTTTAAATAAGGAATAATAGATTTTCGTAAAAAATACCCTTCAACATCTACTCGAAAACTTAAGTTCGTCTCTGGCTGGAAGAAAGTGAAGAGCTATATTTTCGTTGAAATCTATTAACGCGGATGCAGGATCTTGCGAACGAAAGTATTTGTTTGCGTAATGGCGAACAGTAGATGTTAAAAACGTGTATCATAACAATTGACAAAATGTTTGTAACAATCTTGTCAGCGATAGATCGAGAACTACGTTTATAAATATGTATCATAACATCGAGTTTGTGCGAGCTTGTAAACCACGTTCACAAACCGCAGGTATAGTCGGTAGGCATAGTCATACGTAGCGTAGATTAATATGGGAATGTATTTGCTGTTCATATCTGTATATAAAAAAGTTTCACTTCTCGTAAATATACATATCTTGAAATCGATATTCCGTTTTCACGTTATTCCCCGTTGTTCTTCTCCTTTCGATAAAATTGTTAACCCTTAGAATTCGTAATATGGATTCAAAGACGGGATTTTGGGACGATTATAATTTTTCTTATTTTTTTTTATTAATAACTTATGATTCACTCAACAAAAAAAATTCCAACAGCAAGTAATGTCAGATAAGTGGGTAATAATTTTGTAAAAGGACC